CTCTCTGCCCCTCCCCCGTTCATGCTCTGTCTCTCTCTGTCCCAAAAATAAATAAACGTTGAAAAAAAAATTTTTTTTTTAAAAATAAAAATACTCGATCTAAAGTAGCATTCTCCATTTAAACCTTTTTTCTTGATCATATTATCGAGGTGGTCAGGGAGTCCCAAGTTTGACAGCTCCAATATCTGAATCTTATTGTGGGTTTGTTTTTTGTCTTGGTTCCTGATCATTTTGTCGTGTCTCCTTGCGTGGCTGATAATTTTTATTAAGTGCTAAACATTGCACGTGAAAAATTGTGGAAACCCTGGAAGGTAAGACCTTCACCAAAAGAAAAGTTACTTTTCTTCTGCCAGCCAATGATACTAGAGGTGAAACACTTTGATCCCATAAAGGATTATTGGATGACTTAAGATGACTTAAGATTGGATGACTAAACCATATTGAAAGGAGGATTCCAGATGAATTAAAGATTGAAGCATCTTTTAAAATTCTAAGTGAAAATAGAAATGCAGACAAATTAAAACGTAGACACATTTTAATATCCTAGAGTTACGGAAATAATTTTCACACCTAAAAATAAATTATTGGGCAAATATATAAAGTTTTTGTTCTGCAAGACACCGTAAATAAAGAAAACAGACAAATGAAAGGGTAAGAAAAGAAATTTACAGCATCTAACACTAGCAATAAACGAATACATAGACTCTACAAGGCACTCCAGTAAATCATCAAGAAAAGATAAAAAGAAAACCCAGTAGGGGCACCTGGGTGGCTCATTTGGTTTAGCATCCGACTCTTGATCTCAGCTCAGGTCATGATCTTACAGTTTGTGGGGTCAAGCCCTGCATCGGGCTCTGCACTGGCAGTGTGGAGCCTGCTTGGGATTCTCTCTCTCTGTCCTCTCTCCTGCTCAGGCTCTGTCTCTCTCTCAAAATAAATAAATAAACTTAAAAAAAAAAAAAAGGAAAGGAAAGAAAAGAAAAGAAAAGAAAACCCAATAGAAAAGTGAGCAAGGATAAAACATATGAATAGACAGTTCCCAGAAACTCACGTGTCCCACAGTTACGTAACTCTGTGCTCAAATGCACTAGTAATCGTAGAAATACGAATTCAAACAACTGTGCTATCACTTTCCACCCATTAGTTTGACAAAAAGTAGGAAGTTGGACAATGCTCCGTGTTAGCAAGAATTTATGAAACTAGAACACTGATGCACTTCTGGTGGGAATCTAGATTAGCACAGAAATTATGAGGACCAGTACACCCAACGACAGATATCATCCTTAAATATATATATATATATACACACACACACATATATATGTTTTAAGAATGTGTGTGTGTAAACACATATAGAGATACATGTTTTAGATACATATTTTTAAATTTTTATTTATTTCAGTAATCTCTACACCCAACGTGGGGCTCAAATTCACAACCCCAGGATCAAGGGCCACGTGCTCCTCTGACTGAGCCAGCCAGGCGTCCCTAGGTATATATATATATTTTTTTAACGAAGATGTTCATTGCAGCATTATTTCTAGGTAGCTGAGAGACGAACGCTCCTGGACGTTTATCACTAGGGCAATTCGTAAATACAGTAGAGTGAATACACAGTATGGAATTCTAACTATAATTATGCTTGATAACTATTCAGCAGTGGGTACCCATTATAAAATCACCGTGCAGACTGGAGAGAAAAAGCCCAATAAACAAGAAGAGATCTCATGCATAGCACTATCCATGTAAATTAAAACCCAGTTCACACATAAAACAATACGGTGTCATTGATAAGAAATGTTTTAATGTTTATTCATTTTTGAGAGACAGAGAGACAGAGCGTGAGCGGGGGAGGCGCAGAGAGAGAGGGAGACACGGAATCCGAAGCAGGCTCCGGGCTCCGAGCTGTCAGCACAGAGCCCGACCCGGGGCTCGAACCCATGAACTGCGAGATCACGACTGGAGATGAAGTTGGACACTTAACTGACTGAGCCACCCAGGTGCCCCATAGAGCATCATTTATAAGGAGACATATTTACATATTTAATTCATTAGAGTCATTGTCTCGGGTGGGGTGGAAAAATGAGACTAAATGGGAAATTTTTAAAAATCTTGTTTGAAGGGGCCGCCCAGGTGGCTCAGTCGGTTGAGCGTCCTACTCTCGGTTTCGGCTCAGGTCACGATCTCACAGTTGCGTGAATTGGAACCCCACGTCAGGCTCAGTGCTGACAGTGCAGAGCCTGCCTGGATTCTCTCTCTTCTCCCTCTCTCTCTGCCCCTCCCCACTCACGCTGTCCCTGTCTCTAAATAAACAAATAAACTTATAGAATAAAATAATGAAATAAAAATCTGTTCGAAGAAACTAATCACTCAATTATAGATGTTCCCCCCCACCCCGGTCTCTCTCCTTCCAAGTCCCTTCCATCTTTCTTCCCCCTCCCGTCCTTCTGCAGATGTTACTAGGATGACAGAATGAACACGATCCCGTGTCAGGTGCTGTGGGGGAAATAAAGGTGATTTCCATGTTGGCTTGACCACGTGAGGCAAAAGTCCAAGGTGAACGTGCCAAAAACTTTCCTGGCAGTACTCTGCCCCAGAGTTAGAACTCCCAAGCACACTCCTGCTCTGAGCTCCTGAGGACGACAGGAGCACTCAATAAAATAAACAAGCCCTGTGACTGAGGCCAGAAGTCACAGTGCGGCTTCTTTCCCCGTCAGGCAGATGTTTATCAGCGAACATAAAGATACAAACGCTAGAAGCTTATTTGTGTGGAATCCTCTCGTCAGATTAAAAAGTGTATATAAAGTACTTCCTATGTGCACGTCCTGGGATAAGTGGCTGCTTTGTTCTTTTTTTATAATTATTAAGTGTTTCGGGCACGCGAGGATGTATAATAGCCACATAGCAGTGGTACGTCCAAACCCCCTGCTTACAAACTAAAATCGGGGTTGGCCAGCTTTTCCTGCCGGTTCTTAAATATTTTCAGCTTTGCGTGTCTCTGTCACACCTGCCGTCCTCAGAAGGTGCGGCGTGAACATAGCTTTGGACAGTACAGTCAACCAACGCGCAGGGCTGGGTTCCAAGAAGACTTTACTTACGGACACTGTAATCTTCACAGGTCATGAAATGTTATCCTGCTTTTGATTGGTTTTCAAACCGTTTAAAAATGTGAAAGCCATTCTTAGCCCCCTGGGCCACAGGAAAAGATGGGCTGGATTTGGAAGGGCCATAATTTGTGTCGAGCCCTGAACCAAAATGTTACGAACTCACTGGAGGCCCTCGGGGTACCACGTCCCAAATGGCATCCCCCTGCCATCCCCCGAGTTACTCATTCTCTGAAATGTTTTTCATCCCATACGTACTGTTATCTGTGTATTGCATGTGTGTGTATCCCTAAACGGCATATAGTATTGATTTGTATTTTTTTTTAA